TTTTGAAATATATACATGTATTAATTCAACCTTAATCTGAGTTTCTGAACATGAAAGAGGGTAAGCAGTTGAAATTTCATTCTAAAACCCATCTTATTTGGTCTTTTCATGACTTATGATTTGTCAAATTTGTAGTTTTTTTTATTGGTTTTGAGTGTTTATCTTAAAACTCAAGTTTATTGGTTCTTTGCTCTTGGTGTAAATCGAACACATTTGTGGAGTCGTTTAAATATATTGGATTTTAAACTGTCATACAATTTTTTTTCATCGATAATCTGTAATTGGAACCATAACTCTTATTTATTCAAATTGTATTAATATGTAAAGACCAAATGTAACATATATCATCGTTAAATCTTATCTTATAAAACCAGTAGAACTTCAAAATCGTTAAAATTCATGGCTCCCGCCGCATTGCGCTGGTACACAACTAGTAATTATCCTAATCATATTTTAGATTGTTTATATTTAAAATGAGATGTTTATCCCGTATTCAATTATGTTTACCTATAATTAGTTACACGAATTCAAGAATAAAGCTTTAATAAGTTGTACTTACGCACAGTTTATTTGTGATCTTGAATTTTTAAATAATAAGCATTAATAAACTGTACTTTACACATAAAAAAATGGTTGTTAAGAGTTTTTGTCAAATACTTTATAATATAGTATAAATTATGAATCAAACTTTCATTTTGAAAAACAATAATTTAAAACATTTCATTTAAGAGTTATAATAACTATAGTTACATTTTTCTAATGTCATATTTGACAACCATAAATTAGCTTAAGATTTTCTAAATCTTGATTTTGTATAAGGAATATTCTAGAATGAACTCAATTTACCTTTCATATTTTGATAATTTATTTATAAATATAAATGATTAAAAACAATCTCCCATCATCAATTAAATTATAACAAAAAGAAACCAAGAAATTAAGAAACTCAATCATTAATCATATCCTGTTTTCAAGATGATTGATTATACAGTAGTTGCAGAATCATACAAACAGAGATAGAAAACATATTATGTGTTCATAATATGAATGGTATAAAATAATACCGAAAAAGGACAAGTTGATCACACCCACCAATTATAGACATCATTATTATTTTTATTGGAAATGGGGACCAATTTTCATATGCACATTTAATGGTTGGGGTAGTAGTGCTCAACCTCCTATGTTTAGTTTTTAATGCTTTACTTGTATGTGAGATCCAAATCCATTTGCTTCCTATTTCACTTACTAACTTTTCGTTAAATAATTAATATAATTACATCTCACTTTTTTTATTAAAACAATGTGAGAGATTTTAAACACTTGAGATACCAATAAATTAACCATGATATTGTAGTGTTTTAGTACAATTTGTTCTCATTTTTACATGGTCCAAATAAATACCAATAAATTAACTTAATACAAGTCCAAGTCCCAACCACTTCTGGGTTTTAAGTAGTCAACAATTCGGTTTACATATATTTAGCGTAAAACTTCAGCTCGACCTTTAGCTGCCACGAAAGACTAACCTATCCCCATTGTATGTTGAACCCACGGCCTTTGATCACCATAAACATCATAATGTATTATCTATACAAACTCATTCCCGCAACAAGGAAAAGTTGGTATTCAATCCCAAACATGTCTACGCCACGCGTATTGAAAAAACTATCAAAAACTACAAGAACAGGAATCCTATGCCTGAACAGTCTCTCTACTCTTTCAGGGTAGAGGAAATATCTGCAAACACATGATATCACAACTACCAAAAACTATAAGGCCAAGAATTATGAGGATGAGATGGTCAGTCAAAGAAACATCCGAAGGGCCCAGAGACGTCTAGAATCCCATGAAGCTCTGAAGCTAAAATCCAGAAAAACCTTCAATGGTTGGAGGAACTTGATTCGATGACCACAAGCTACCGAAGGTAAAGGGTTAAAGGGAACCAATGGGGAGCAAAACAAGGGTGAAAGGGACCCAAGTGGACCTACTTAAAAGGATAAGTTCGAGAATGAATAGATACATTGTTAAAGACTAGAAAGATATTCACACAATGCAGCGAGATATATCTTCATTTTAATGTTTTGTTTTACTTTGTCTCTGTCGATTATAATACGGTTTATGTGGTTTTTTGAGAAATATAATGATTTTACTTTTAAAAATAAATTTGAAGATATTGTAAAATTTAAAAAAAAACATATCGATATTAATATCATATTAACTATTTAAACGTTCTTGTTTTTTTTATAATTTATTTAATTCAATTTTTTATTATAATTTAATTTAGGTCTAATAGCAAAATAATTTATTTTTATCTTTAACAATACAATTTTTATATAAATAAATAATTCTGTCAAAACTCAATGATTATTTTAATTATATTTTAGATTTTTTATTTTAAAATAAGATGTTTATCTTGTATTTGATTATGTTTATCTACAGTTAGTCATACGAAATGAAGCTTTAATAAGTTGTATTTACGCACAAATTACTTGTGATATTAAATTTTTGAGTAATATGCATTAATAAACAATACTTCATGAAAAATGGTTTTTAAGAGTTTTTGTCAAATGTTTTATAAAATACTAGAAGAATATTTGCGCTATGCAACGAGATACATCTTGATTTTAATGTTTTATTTTATTTTGTCTCTATCGATTTTATAATACGATTTTATGTGTTTTAAGAAAACGATAATGATTTTATTTTTAAATAAAATATAAATTTGAAGATATCATAAAAATTTGAAACAATATATAATATTAGTATCAAATTAACTATTTAAAAGTTCTCATTTCTTGTGTAATTTCTTTAATTTAATTTTTATTATTATAATTTAATTTAAGTTTGATAACGAAGTAATTTGTTGTTGGTTTAATAATATAACATTTTATAAAGATAATAATAAAATATTTTGTTAGAACTTAATGATCATCCTAATTATATCTTAGATTTTTTATATTTAAAATGATATGTTTATCATGTATTTGATTATTTTTATGTACGGTTAGTTACACGAATTCATATATAAAGTTTTAATATGTTGTACTTACGTACAATTTACTTGTAATCTTAAATTTTAAGTAACATGCATCAATAAACAGTATTTTATGCATAAAAAATTGTTTTTAAGAGTTTTTATCAGAAATTTTATAATATAGTATATATATATATACATAATAAACAGTACTTCATGCATAAAAAATAATTTTTAAGAATTTTTGTCAAATATCGAAGATGATTTCATATAAAATTACAATGATTCACAACAAATAATAAAGAAATTAAATAATAAACAAGATATAGATACCAGATTTAAATAATAATAATAATAAAAAGAAAAAGAAAAAGAAAAAGAAAAGAGGAAGGAGACAAACTGTATGTGAAGAGTCGCTGGATCCATTAGCTTTATTCCAGCCTATGGACAGCTCAAGGTCTCCTGAATTTAGATAAAGCAAAAGCATGTGAGCATCTCTGTCTCTAATTCCAAACCAATTCCTTATAAAACTAATATTCAGAACCTTCCTTCCCCTTTTCATGCTTATTTTTTTAGAATAACTTAATGAAGTCGTCGACAGCTGAATCTGGATAACTCCACCTTCTATGTTTATATAACAATAACTAAACCCATGTTGCAACTCATACAGCAATATCTAACATTGCCATTTGCCAGGGTCTAATAACATATACAAATTTAAGACCAAACACATAAAAATATGAAACCTTATTTCCGACTCATGCAGAGGATCGATGATCGGGTCGTTTTATTTATGTAGTCATTAAATTTTGGGCAGAATGCAACAGCGTTAGGTTCATTTCCTATGTAGTGTAACAAATAATTCTTTTTATAACATTTTTGCTAAATTTGTAAACATTTGATCACATGAACACCCATTTTATATGAAAGCTTTACAAACTATATACAGAAGGGTCACGCCAAAGAAACGATAAACTTTTGGCATCCACGTCATGAATGTTACATTATCAGCAGGTTACAGATCAAAATGAGAAATTTTGAAACTTCGTTACATTAATCGAGCGAAAAAGAATTTTGTTACTCTAAATGGAAACGAAGACAAACTTCGTTATTTTTTGCCCTTAAATTTAACTCTTTTATATTAGCTTCTGTGAATTTTAATTAAAGGATAGGTCATGGCATCTCAAATGGGTAAAAAAAGGGAAATATTGTAAAATTTGATACCAGCGGTAATTCTACGAGGCATAGAAATGCCGCTATTCTGCAGTAAGTGTATTTACAGAGTAAGCAATATGAAATGAGAAATGGGTTTTATGTGGATTTATTACCTGTAGAAAGAAGCTCCAGGTGGAGGAAATTAGGTCTTTACATAGTCCATGCCATTACGCTTGCGTTTGTTTGTCCTTGAAAAGAAACATATCTGGGCCCAAGATTTCTTCTGTTTCACTGGTTGTGCTTTCACTTCCTTCTTCTCATGGAGCTCATTCATGTACTGAATCACAGCCTACACACCATAAAGTAGATGAATAATTAGCCATGAATTTGAAGCATTCACTACAGCCAAAAATGTCAGTGTCCTAATAGAGTGCTATACAGAATTTAAGTTCATGAGAACCAAACAATTGTGTGTCTTATGTAAAAGCAATGCAATAAGTTTATAGGAGGCTTTTGAGCGTTTTAACAAGTTTTTAAAAAAGTCTTCAAAATAAAATGTCATATTTGCTTTTGTACAAGCATATGCTATGAACACATCTTTTTAATAAGACGCTTTATATCAAAAGTGTCCTAACAAAACTTGTTCAGATGTCCAAAGACGTCCTATAAACTTATTATTACACTCTTACATAGAACTCGTACTTGTTTAGTCCTATGAACTTGAATCCTATAATGCAGTCTATTATGACAATTTGACATTGTAGTGGTTATTGAAACTACGAAACCATGGATATGAAAACTCACATGGGCGCCTTGATCGAGTATAGATTGTGGTGGTAATTCCAAAGGATTCCCTTCAGCTTTAAGGAGCCGTAACTTTGATAGCATACGAAAAGAATCAGGAAGGATTCTTATCTGGTTGTTACTCATATCCAACTCTTCCAAATTCTCAAGGTTCCCAATGGATCTTGGCAGGAATCTTAGATCTGCAAAGTTGTTGCTGACGTTGATTTTTATGAGGCTGGTAGCAAAACACAAGCTTTCGGGCACTGATTCAAGCTCGTTGAAACTCACATCAAGTTCTTTTAGACTTGTTAGGGATGACATCGTGGTTGGCAACCTACCAATGTTATTGTAACGAACAGATAGTTTCTCCAAGGACTCGATCTTTCCTACGGCTTCTGGTAGGGCTTTCAGCTTGTTATAGTCTGCAATAAGCTCTTTGAGGGAGGAGCATTGACCAATTGCATGTGGGAGCTCTTCGATATTGTTAGTTTCAATGTTGAGTATCTGCAGACTGCTGAGTGAACACACAGACTCGGGAAGAACTGAGATGTTGTTTGAGCTCAAATCAAGCTCTTGAAGATGGAATAATCTACCAAAAGTTGCAGGCAGAGATGTCAACTGGTTTGCTCTTAGATCAAGATGGACCAAGTTAAGCAGATCTCCTATGGATTCTGGGAGTTCCAAGATTTTGTTAGAATGCAGATCTAGTTTTGTCAATGATGAAAGACCTCCGATGGAAGATGGCAAGGCGACAAGCCTATTTTCTGATAGATCTAGTGTAATTAAACTAGATAACTTCCCTATTGAATCAGGAAGCCATTCGATTTGGTCCATCAATTTACTCCCAAGGTTGAGGTCTTTAGCTCCTTTTTTAGAAGATACTTCGATCAGACTAGCAAGCCTTATAAGACTCAATTTCTCACCATCTTGACCTACAAAATGCACCCATCGTTTGGAATCATCTTTCTGGTCAAAAGCTCAATCGTCACTCATCAAAACAAAAAGCCATCATCATTAAAAAAGGTCATGATATCAAATACTACTATATACAATAAAAGCCTAAAAGACATAACAAGTGAGGTAATCCCACAGCATAATTATTGCATATTGAAGATTTGAATTTAAAAGAACAAGGACAAAATTCATGACCATCTATTAAAACTAGATAATACAACAGTAATGAGGATAAAGGCTCACCAGAAGTAATGGTAGGTTTTAGAGTGGAATCCACAATCATGGGCCTTGAAGTATCACTCATTCGAAGCACTCTTCCAATCCCATCACCATGAATAGTAGACTGTGACTTCTGGAGATAACTATCATCTCGAGTGAACAACTCAGAAGTTTTAACAGGCTCCTTGTCATAGTACAAGCTAAAAGTCGATACTGGAGTCACACTCACAGTGCTGGAGGGGTTGCCACTAAAATTTGCACCAGAGAAAGCTGAATTTGTCAAAGACGAAATGCTGCTTGAAGTCGAAGCAACTGATGGAATATTATTATCACTACCAGATGGAACAACACATTTGGAAGCCCTTTGAATCATTTCATCAAATACAAGATGGTAGTTTTCGAGATCTAGCAATTTAACTGCTTCTCTCTTCTGTTCCATGGTCTGAAAATGGACTAAATGCTTTTGCATCTCTACCAAGACACCGAATAGTTCGTCAGGAACGTCTTTTCGCTTCTTTAGCTTAGCAATAGATTCCAGCCTTGACTGTAGTTCGCTATCTGCATTTCGGATCAGTATTTTCGCACCTTCAACATCCTCAATTCCAGGCCTTGGAGGAAGAGATCTATGAGTTCTCATTATCTCTTCAACCACCTCATCTACTGATTTTGCAGAAGATTCCATTTTCCTACTCCTTTATTCTACAAAATTTTCAGGAAACTTACACAGTTAAGACCCGTGGGATACGATACAGCAACAAAATCCAACCAAAATCGCTTCTAAAATCTCTATATACAGATAACGAATCTAAAATCAATTATTTTACACTAATAAGCAATCCAGAGACAATTACACTCAATAGACAAAGGCCGCAAATGTACCACTTCTAGTAACACTATCGAATCTCATTTTTCCTTCTGAAAAAACAAGCAGATAAACCAAAATCTCCGGTCACTACCATCGAATTTTTGTTTTGCTTCAAAAAAGCACAACAGGATAATGCATATAATAACGACAATTTCATGAGATTTGTTTTAAAAAAAGGGGAAAAAATACTTCAACTCCATAATTAAACAATTAGAAACAACAAAATTACCTAAAAGAAAAGAAAATCACGCAGCATACCGTCATAGATTCAGAAAACTTTTAAACCTCCCGAAAAGAGACAGAATTAACATCGAATACTTATATTATTCCAAAGCAAATTCAAATCTATGACCAAAACAGCAGCAGTAGTAGTAGTAAGTTGAATTGAAATTTAAGAAATTGACCTCGGAGTAGTCTTATCCTGGAGAATTGGTAGAAAGTAGGAGCGGCGGCTAGGGCGTTTTACGGTGGAGAGAGAGAGTTAGAGAGAGAGAGAGAAGAGAGTCGGTGTTTGGTTCGACGGGAAATTCAGAGACTTTGAACAAAAGTGCAAGTGTGGGTGTGTGTGTTTTTACATCTTCACTGTAAATGTGATGTCTGAAGATTTCGCATTATACTCCTCTCCCCTCCCTCCCCCCTACCTTTAATTATACAATTCCATAAATAATATATATATATATATATATATATATATATATATATATATATATATATAGAGGTTGGTTCAAATAGAAACCAACCATATGGTACAAACTATAG